CTCGAGCGACGTGTCCCCCGGCTGGGCGGGCGACGACAGCGTGGTCATGTGGAAGTAGACCTCCGGAGGAGCGGGGGGGTGGCTTTTGGAGGCCTGGAAATGGGCACCGACACCAGGACACGGGGGCTGCCTCCACAGGGTGGAGACGATCCTAGAATCCGGTGTTGGTGGTAATATGTCGGTCACCTTGGAAGCCACAATACTACCACCATCACCGAGATCGGGATTTTCTTCCCTCGGTGGAGGAACGCCGCCGATCTTGGTGTTGGTGTCAACCTCTAGGCCTGCGAGGCCTTCGCGGCTGCAGGGCGCGCCAGGAGCGGCGAGCCGAAGGGGGCCCGCCCCGGCCACAGAAGGCGACGGGGCAGGGCGACAGGACAGCCGGGGAGCAGAAACACACACACACAGAACCACACACACACACATGCACCTACGCACACACATACACACATACACACATACACACAAACACATACACACACCTACACACCTACACACAAACGCCCACACGCACACTTGTGGTCAGCGGCAAAAGCGGTCGAACAGCTGAAGGGTCTCGCCGGGCAGATGCACACTAGACGAGTGGAAAAGGGGGGAGGCCTCCACTCACACACACACACACACTCACGCACAGCCAAAGCGACTCGCAAGCCGAGCAAAAGACTGTCGGCACGCGCGTGCCGGCGGGGAAAAGGAAGTGGCCCGGCCCTTCTGGGGCTCGCATGCGGAACATGTGAAGGCCACCTGCTCGGTACACGGGTGGAGGACCACCGTTCAAGGTCACACGGCGGCCGATCGCTGGAAGGACATGTCGCCCCGTGCCATTCCAACTCTCGCCCAAGCTGGCCACAGAATGTGTATCAGTATCCGAGCTGGTGCAAGAACTGCGCAGCAGGCACTGACGCGCACTGGGGTGCCCGTACGGACCGAGGAATGGAAAGAGGGCGCCTCGTGCGCAAAGGAGGAAGGCTGCCGGAGAGTAGACGTTAAAGTGGAACAGAGACGTTAGCTACCCACACGACCAGCTTCTGGCCGATTGCAAGAAGTTGGCACAAGGCTTAGTTCCAAGTGTTCTTCGCATGTGCGATCCATGCTTGTTGCATCATTTACCTTGTTAGCTCCAGCAGTGTCGCTGCGGCTTTCGCAATCTATCTTACGTCGCTGAACTTGCCTAGGATAAATTAGCGTTCAGCGTCGCGGATCTACTCATGCTTACCTGATTAACCAATAGCTGTCATTATGCTTTTGGCTGAATTGCGCATTGCGAAGCCGTAGGTAGTCATTCGACATTTGGCTGCCATCTGCTCGAGCTGTCTTCAACTTTCGTTTTCGCCTTCGCGTCAGCTTTACCCTGCGTTTCCGCTGTAGCCTTAGAACTGAACTGTACTTACACAGACACATTCGCTTCAACCTCTCCTGCAGGCAGGGCTTTGGCTTGTGACTGACCTTCAGCTGAAGTCCAAGATGGGCATCGACACCAGTGGCATGGCTCCAACTATAGGCGCGGCCTCAATTCCAACTTCATGCTTTACCATGACTATTCGCTTTTTAACTTTTCGCGTCCGATCTGATGCAGTTTCGCCTCAACTTCAATTTCAGCGTCACTTTAAACAACAATGGCACGCTGCGGCGACCGCAAACAGATAATGTGAAAACGTATAGTAAGGACGGGTGGTAAGGACGCGAGACCCTTGGAGGCCGAGGTTGGGATTTGTTGGGCGGCGGCCTGAGAGGCTGGCCAGGGGAAACAGCAAACGACGGGCCGCAGAGGCAAGGACACAAGGGTACCCTAGAAAAGGCGCGCGTCCTTACTATGCGCGTTGACTGCAGCCGCTTGCATGGGCCACCACACACGGAAACAGGGGGGCGGGGCCCCCGGGTGCCGTAGCCCCCTCTGCCCCCCCGCCCAGGGCAGTGAACATATCTGCAAGCATGCGTGAACACTGTCGTGTAGCTGCTTGCTTTTGCACAAGACTGGCCATCGCTCGGACGTCTATTTCCTGTGTTTGTTTCGGTTTCGTGCGTGGCTTTTTCGCCAAATGATCAAGGATGCTCCTCGATGGTCCTCGCCAAATGAACGTCCGAGCGATGCCAAGAAGAACGACGAGTACGTCACCCACTCACTCACTCACAACTCGTGCATCGAATGGCGCGCAAACGCAACTGCAGTGGAGGCCCGTCCACAAGAAACCCGACCCTGAGATCCGGAACGTCCTCTGATTTTTGGTGTGGGCACGTCGCGCGTTCCATCGCAAACCATCGAATGCCAAGAAGCCCAGGGCACCCTGGAGGCAAGCAGGGTGATTCTTGGCATGGGTCTCCACTGTATTTGATTTTGCAGAAGAACGACGAGGTCGTCACGCACTCACTCACCCACGAATCGTACGCCGAATGGCGCGTAGACGTAACTAAGACATGCAATGCTGGCTCACGCCGGCCCTCCATCCGGACTCATGCTGCATGTTCCCGCCTATCAGAGCAGTGTTGTCGGCGACCTGACAAACCCATTCGTTCCCCGGGCGTCCAATCTTCTGAATGAATGGCGGCGCCCGCGCCCTGCATGACGGCGCCCGCGCGGAGCGCAGCTATACCAACCCGTCAAGGCATCAGGACTAGAGAGCAGGGAAGGAAGGAGGAGGACGAGGAGCAGGAGGAGGAGGAGGAGGGAAAGGAGGAGGAAAAGGAGGAGGAGGAGGAGGAGGAGGAGGAGGAGGTGGAGGACCGCCGACAGAGAACGGACAGCGACTGAGACAGAGCGAGGCAGCACGAGCGCGTTTCGCGCGCTGGCAAGACCACTCTCCAGCACCTGTGGGCGCGGGGATCCAGATCGTTCGACCATCGGGCAGCGCAGCGAGCAGAGATGTTATGGTATTGTCTGTCAGGCGCGCTTGTATGAAGAGGCCCCAGGACACACAAATAAATACACACACAAATAAAACTATTCCCCATATTTTTCCTATATTTCTGGTTTCTTTGTCTTCCCCCTTACTTCCCATAGTTTCCTATATTTTCCTAGGGAATCGAGGATTGATTGTGTCTGTGTGTTTCTTTTCCTCCTGAATGTTATAGTATTGTCTGTCAGGCGCGCTTGTAGGGCCGTCCAGAGGGGCCCAAGCTAAACAACAAAGGCTATCGAGTACAACAGCACCAGGTCTCTGCCGAGCCTACGGTCGGACTTCATTGGGCAGGACACGCGAGAGGACGCGAGACCCTTCCAAGGGCCGCATTGCCACAGGAACGTGGGAGGCATGGGTCGCGAGATACAGGACACAGGGGTACTCTTGATTTGGGAGGGCCGACCTACTGATCAGGGCCGACTGTAGGTCAGGCACGCAGCGACGAGGCTGACGCCGACGCTGACCGCGGCGAAGCCGAGGATGACGAACGAACCACACGCACCCATATCCATAGGTGGGACGGAGCGGGCCATGGGTGCGTGTTGTCGGATGGGGGTCCCCGCTCGAAAGGCGCCCCCCAGGACCCGACAACCCGCACCCATACCCATAGCCAGTCCTCCTCTCAACGTTCCCCCTATGGGAACCGTCGGGGCGTTGACCCAAGGAAGGAGAAATAAGGAACGAGGCCCCTTTTGCCCACAAGTTACACTTCGATTTCCAGTTGAAAACCTCAGGAACACCGGAGGCAAACTGCATAACATTCAAGGAACACCGAGCCCCTCCCCAACGAAAAGGGTTCCTTCTGCAGCGCTCCGACTGTATGGGTTTGTGTGTTGTTCGCTCGTCGGAGGAGGCCTCCGCGCCAGCTCCGCGCACGCGCCCTGCGGCCGAGCTAGGGAGCCGAGGGCCCGCGACGGGCCAGAGGCGCAGGCGGCCTCCGCCGCCGCCGCCGCCGCCGCCGTCGTGGGCGCCGTCCGTGGTCGTCGTCGTCGTCGTCGTCGTGGTCGTCGTGGTCGTCGTCGTCGTCGTCGTCGTCGTGGTCGTCGTCGTGGTCGGCGTGGTCGTGGTCGTCGTCGTCGTGGTCGTCGTCGTGGTCGTCGTTGGCCGGTCCGTGCCAGACCTAGGTCCGTGCCCGAGCCAAGCGTGCTGAACTCATGGCACGCACGATGGCCACTAGGAAGAACATGCCGGACTCGCGGGCCGACTCTCCACCCAGAGGAAGGGCATTCCCACCAGCCCTTGAGGGCGAGTGTGGTTTGGGGAGCTTCCTTGTCCAACCCACCTTCTCCACTTTCGGGGAGGGGTTTATCACTGTTCCCACATGATGCATACACCCTCCCCCAGGCGACGGGCAGCAAACCAGGAACACTGCCGACCCTATGCTCTCCCCAAACCATCCCTTTCGAAAAACCATACAAGACACACTCTGCCTCCAAATTCGGAGCATGCGCAAACAAACCGATGCGCCCCCCACCCCCACCATCCCTTTTGAAAAACAATACAAAATACAATTCGGGGCAACGTCTTGAGTCATGATAGTGAGGCCCGCGAGCACTTTGCATTGTTTTTTTTGACAGGGACGGCGGGGGGGGGTCAGCATATTACCTGCGTTGCGCAGGGCCACCATTCCTATCACAAGAGAGTACAACATGCATCTCGTGACTAAATCTGGATCATGCGCGGCCACCCCGCGATCACTGTGAAGTGGTGTTTGACAGGGGCGGCGGGGGTGGTGGCGTATGGCCTGCTGTGCGCAGGCCCACCAGACACGAGAATGAGCATTGGTTTCCGACAAGGACGGTAAGGGCCGACATATTTCCCGATGTGCGCTGTCACGTTCGCTGGCGCACCTAACACATTCTGCGCGTGCCCCGAACGTGGCGCACCTGGCCCGGCTAGAGAATGCGGCACACCTGGCGCACGTGGAGCACGTGGCGCATCTGACGCACCAGGCGTGCGGGCCCCAGGGGTGCCTCGCGCGCGTTGCGCGCCTGGCACGCGTGGCGCACCTCACCCCAGCATCGCGCACATGGGGTCGGTTGTGATTCCCAGTAGCAGCCCACCCAAAAACGACAGCTGAACATGCTGAGGCTTGGGTGTTACTTATGCGTTGGGAGGGAGGGTGGGAGAGAGATAGACAGCTTGCTATCTAGGAGGGTGTCT